AAATAAACTATTTTACCCTTCAATATTTGAGGAATTCCACAGTATCCCTTTAAGTAAGTTGACAAGGGCTCTATAATATTACAATAAGATTAGGGAGTCTCCCTAACTTATTCGAATATTTACCAACTGCCCACATGGCAGTCCACCTCAAAGTAGAGGTTTTTAAGAAAAAATAATAATAATAATAATTTTCCAATTAATTAGGTTATCAATGCAGTTGATAAATTTTTTGATAAATTGAGGAGGTTCCCTAAACTTATTGATACTCTTATGAGGATAATGTTGTAATTTCTTACCAAGAAACTAAAAGTTTGAAAAAAAAAAATCACATAACGTTCTCAATAATAATGATAATAAAATTTTTTATAGCAATTATCAAATGCATCAATATTTTTTTCAAAATTTTTTAAAAATAAAAAATAAAAAACTAGTTAAAAATCTTAACATATTTTGCATGAGTAATTTAGGTTTCATGAAAGAAAAATTAGGAAAAATTTCATGAAACTTTAAGAAATAATCTAATATGATAGGTAACCAAACAAGAAAAACGACTTACATTAATATAACGTATGTTTTAATTTTGAAGTCATAGTTTGCAAATAGGATAAATTTTTGTCTTATAATATTCTATGATTGATAGATTGCAACTTAATATATATAATTGTATAATATATAATAAAATATTATAAATTGATCACTAATTCATAAATTTTTTTTTTAATATTTATTTTATGAAGTGTAACATTACTTATTAAGGCTTTTTCTTCAGAACACCAAGTGCTGATCATAACTCCCCCCCCCCCCCCCAAAAAGAAAAAGTAAATGAAAAAATATTTTAAAAAAAAGTGAAACAGAAAAACAGAAAGTAGTTATGTATCAATTAAAAATGGTGACGTCACCTAATATGAAGAAGACAGAGGAGAGAGTCATGGTGATGTCTCATGGGTGGTGTGGTGGTTATCATAAAAAATGGGCGGATAATAGTTGGAGAACCACCCTCAGTAGCGGAGTCAAAAAAAGTTATGTTGGAGGGTTATTTATTAATTATAATATTAAAAAATTTTATAAAAATATTTTACATAAGTTTTTATAATTGATTTTAAAAAATATCAAAAAAATAATGTTATTTATAATTACTGTATCATAGATAATATAAAAAAAATATAGATATAATTAAAATAAATTATATAATGATGAATTATTTTTTATACAAAATTTGATTAAAAATTTAATATAATGGTAATTCCACATCATCATTAGTATGTGATATCATTAACTAATAGTAAATAAACATATAGAGAGTGAACCTCACATGTTAAATGTAATTAATAATTTAATAAATTTCATATCTTATAGTGAGATTACTTATACTTGTATGTTAATAATAATGATATCACCATTACATTCAAAATTTTTCATAAAATTTTCATAGATAATATAGTTTATAATAGTGTCTTCATTTTCAATCAAAATAACCATTATTATTCTCATAATTTTTAAAATATCATTAACATCTCACTCTAATAATATTTTTGTCATTTTTTTTATTTAAAATATTTTTTTTATATTTATAAAAATAAAAAAAAAATAAAAAAATTTAAAGGGGCATTTGCTTTCATCTCTACCTTGAGTTCATTTACTTGTATGAATGAATGTCATTAACTGGAATACTCCTTTAGCCATGTCTAGAAAAATAATAATTAGCATATTGCTCGTGCTATCCACAAGTATAAATAAATAATTAAAAATTAAATTTTAAATTAAAATAATAATATAAAGTTTATTTGAAATATTGTAAAAGTGATTTATAATCAATTAATTTTTATTAGAGTTACACTAAGTGAAGATTTTTATTCTAATGTCATTAATTGTATTTCCTAAGTTTTTATAAAAACCTGCATGTCATAATTTAATTGGTAAAATTTAAATAATAAATTACAAAAAAATTATTTACAATAAAATATAAATACATTCCATTTTATAACTTTCGCAATTTTGATTTTAGTAATAAATTATATTTTTTAATATGCTAATTTTTTTCTTATTTTGTAAAACCTAAAAATTTGAAAATGGATTAATGGATTGAAATTGACTTGTGGTGTTGGATTAAATATTAGAAATGACCTGAAAACTAGTTGATTGAATATTTATGCCAATGTGACATTTACCTAGTCATTAAAAATTGTCTTGATTGTTTAAAATTATCTTTATCGGTTTGTAACCGAGATAAGTTAGTTTGAGGGTTCCAATATTAGATTAAATATTAAAAATGAGCCTAGAAAATTTAGTTTGAGTCGATTTTTTTGTTTTTTGAACAATTCTTGATTTAAGCATATAATACATCTTATTTTAATAACTCAATATAATTAAAAAAAACAATAATCTTAATGTTTATGGTGCTTTTTGTTAATCAATAAAAATATTTATAAATATTAAGAGAATTACATTTGAACAAATTCTAACATAAATTTTTTACTTTAAAACTCTAAGTTTGATTTTATCTACATCACTAACCTTTGGAGGTTTAATGAATTCTTTTTTTTAATGGAATATCAATTTGCTATAATATATAGATATATAGATTGGAATATCGATGCATATAAAATTATTAAACATTAAGAAAAAAATATATATGAAAGATGTAGGTTAATTCTTATATTTTAGTAGTATCAAAATTCAAATTCAAATTTATATTTTAGTAGTGATTTCTTTTTTTTTTCTTTTTTATATTATATTAAAGTTTAATATTTTGATAATAATCATATGTGTTAGACTTTTTAAAGAATTCATATGTTTTGAACTTTTTAAGGATTTTTTTTATGCTTGTTCTTAAAGCATTAAAGTGATATCATGAAGGATAATAATCATTTGTATTGGACTTTTTAAGGAATTCATATGTACTTCACAATTATTTCTATATATGTGAATTGTGATTTTTAAATGTCTTTTTTTATTATTTAAATGTCTTCTCTTTTTTTTCTTTTTTATATTATATGAAAGTTTAATATTTTGATAATAATCATATGTATTGTACTTATCAAGGAATTTTTTTTTATGTTTGTTCTTAATGCATTAAAGTGTTATTATGAGGGTAAGGCTTGGGGGTTGAAAGAAGTTAATAAATGCTAAGGTTTTTTTTTTTAAATCAAAAAATTAGAAAATTTAGATTGGAAGGAATTTTTTTTTATACTTGTTTTTAATGCATTAAAGTGTTTATGAGGGTAAGTGTTGGGGGTTGGAAGAAGTTAATAAATGTTAAGGTTTTTTTTTTTTAAATAAAAAAATCAAGAAATTTAGATTGGGATATTAAAATTCTCACAATGCATGGGGGTTAGAAACCCCTTTTTCCTATATATAAAGTGTTATTATGAGAGATAATAATCATACGTGTTGGGACTTTTTAAGGAATTCATATGTGTTGGATTTCAAAGAATTTTTTTTATGTTTGTTCTTAATACGATAAAATGTTATTATGAGGGTAAGACTTGGGGGTTGGGAGAAGTTAATAAATGCTAAGGTTTTTTTTTTTCAAATCAAAAAATCAAAAAATTTAGATTGAGAGATTGAAACTCCCACAAGGCTTGGGTTAAAAATCCCATTTTGCTTAATATATGACTAGCATATCACCCGTGCTATGCACGGATTGTGTTTACAATTATCTAAATATGTGAATTGTGATTTTTAAATGTTTTTTTTTTTTGAATTTCTTTTTTTTTTGTAATATATTAAAGTTTAATATTTTGATAATAATCATATGTGTTTTGGATTTCAAAGAAATTTTTTTATATTTGTTCTTAATACAATAAAATGTTATTATGAGGGTAAGACTTGGGAGTTGGGAGAAGTTAATAATGCTAAGGTTTTTTTTTTTCAAATCAAAAAATCAAAAAATTTAGATTGAGAGATTGAAACTCCCACAAGGCTTGGGTTAAAAATCCCATTTTGCTTAATATATGACTAGCATATCACCCGTGCTATGCACGGATTGTGTTTACAATTATCTAAATATGTGAATTGTGATTTTTAAATGTTTTTTTTTTTTGAATTTCTTTTTTTTTTGTAATATATTAAAGTTTAATATTTTGATAATAATCATATGTGTTGGACTTTTCAAGAAATTTTTTTTAAACTTGTTCTTAATGGATTAAAGTGTTATTATGAGGGTAAAACTTAGAAGTTGGGAGAAATTAATAAATGCTAAGATTTTTTATTTTTTTTTAAATCAAAATATCAAAAAATTTAGATTGGGAGATTGGAACTCTCACAAGTCTTGGGGTTGAAAAGCCCATTTTGCTTAATATATAGTATAGATATTAGCATATCACTCGTGCTATGCACGAATTGTGTTTACAATTATTTATATATGTGAATTATGATTTTTAAATGTCTTTTTTTCCCCCTTTTTTATATTATGTTAAAACTTAATATTTTGATAATAATCATATGTGTTGGACTTTTCAAGTAATTAAATGTCTTTTTTTTATTATATTATATTAAAGTTTAATATTTTGATAATAATCATATATGTTGGACTTTTTAAGAAATTTTTTTTATGTTTGTTCTTAATGCATTAAAGTGTTATTATGAGGGATAATAATCATATGTGTTGGGACTTTTCAAGGAATTCATATGTGTTGGATTTTAAAGAATTTTTTTTATGCTTGTTTTTAATTCATTAAAGTGTTATTATGAGGGTAAGACTTGGGAGTTGGGAGAAGTTAATAAATGTTAAGATTTTTTTTTTTTAAAATCAAAAAATCAAGAAATTTAGATTTAGAGATTGAAACTCCCACAAGGCTTAGGGTTAAAAACCCCTTTTGTTTGATATATAGTATATATAGTATAGATATATATATATATATATATAGATAATAATAATGACAATAATAATAAAAACTAACAAATAGATAAACATTATTGAAGAGTAGAATTTTCTTGGATTTTGTATTTTTCTTATCCATGCAAATGGATACTGTTATTATTTTCACAAGCAAGGTGAGCCCCTTCCAAGTGTTATAAATATGGAGGTACTTGGCACACCCATGGCATTCACTTCCCATAGTTGTATAGATATACAATAGCTTACATACACAAGTTACTAGAGTTCTACCCATGGCTGCATCTTTTTCTGTACCTTCTATGGTAAGATATCTATAGTTTTCTTTTCTGTTATTCTGAATCATAGTTCTCTTTCTTTTCCTGTTGAAAATATGTTCATGTTTACGCTCCTGTTTATTTCGGCAGAAAAAATGTTCTGTGCCAAAAATGTTTTCTTGTGTTTTGTTCTAGTTTCAAAAATGCTGAAAATTAAGCTTAACTCACTCAAATTCGCTTGAAAATTTCTCCTAATGATTGACCACTGTGTGGACAGATTATGGAGGAAGAAGGGAGGTTCGAATCAGAAGTAGCAGAGGTGCAAGCATGGTGGAACTCCGAGAGGTTCAAGCTCACTCGCCGCCCATATTCAGCCAGAGACGTCGTGGCTCTCCGTGGCAACCTTAGACAAAGCTATGGCTCCAATGAGCTAGCCAAGAAGCTATGGAGGACACTCAAGACCCACCAAGCCAATGGTACTGCCTCAAGGACCTTTGGTGCACTAGACCCTGTCCAAGTGACCATGATGGCCAAGCACTTGGACACCATTTACGTCTCCGGTTGGCAGTGCTCATCGACCCACACGAGCACCAACGAGCCTGGACCAGACCTCGCTGATTACCCTTACGACACTGTCCCAAACAAGGTCGAACACCTCTTTTTTGCCCAACAGTACCATGACCGAAAGCAAAGGGAGGCTCGGATGGGGATGACCCGGGAAGAGAGGGCTAGAACCCCTTATGTTGATTACTTGAAACCAATCATCGCCGATGGGGATACTGGATTTGGCGGTGCAACAGCCACTGTCAAGCTGTGTAAGCTTTTTGTGGAGCGCGGGGCTGCTGGGGTCCACATCGAGGACCAGTCGTCCGTGACTAAAAAATGTGGACACATGGCGGGTAAAGTGGTTGTAGCGGTTAGCGAACACATCAATAGGCTTGTGGCTGCTAGGCTGCAATTTGATATTATGGGGGTTGAGACGGTACTTGTGGCTCGTACTGATGCGGTTGCTGCCACTTTGATTCAAACCAATGTGGATACCAGGGATCACCAGTTCATTTTGGGCTGCACTAACCCAAATCTGAAGGGTAAGAGCTTGGCTACTCTTCTTGCTGAAGCTATGGCTGCTGGGAAAACAGGACCAGAGCTTCAATCCATTGAGGATAATTGGCTGTCAATGGCACAACTGAAGACATTTTCAGATTGTGTTGTTGATGGGATCAAGAACTTGAATGAAAGTGAGGCTGAGAAGAGGAGGAGATTGAATGAGTGGATGAATTGTTCTAGTTTCGGAAAGTGTCTTTCGAATGAGCAAGGCAGAGAGATTGCTGAGAGATTGGGGCTTCATAACCTCTTCTGGGATTGGGATTTGCCAAGAACAAGAGAAGGGTTTTACAGGTTTCAAGGTTCTGTAATGGCGGCAATTGTTCGTGGGTGGGCTTTCGCTCCCCACGCTGACATTATTTGGATGGAGACTGCTAGCCCTGACATGGATGAGTGCACCAAGTTTGCACAAGGGGTGAAATCAATGCAACCCGAAATCATGTTGGCTTACAATTTATCTCCTTCTTTCAATTGGGATGCATCGGGGATGAACGATGTACAGACGATGGATTTCATTCCTAGGATTGCCAAGTTGGGGTATTGTTGGCAGTTCATTACACTGGCTGGTTTCCACGCTGATGCACTGATTGTCGACACATTTGCCAAGGACTTTGCTAAAAAGGGAATGCTGGCTTATGTGGAGAGGATTCAGAGGGAGGAGAGGAGCAATGGAGTTGATACATTAGCCCATCAGAAGTGGTCTGGTGCAAATTACTATGACAGGGTTTTAAGGACTGTCCAGGGAGGTATTACTTCCACTGCTGCCATGGGAAAAGGCAAGTTTCACCCTCCATCTCACATTTCTTTATTCATCAAATACATAAGGCATTTAATCCTATGGGATTTCATTTAAATTCACTCGAATATGCGTGGTTTTTCGAATCTATCATGTATTGGATTTATTGGTATGAATTGTATATTGCTAACATTAAGTGTGCAATACATTTTGTTATGTTTTGTTCATTCAGGAGTGACTGAGGAGCAGTTCAGAGAGACGTGGACTAGGACAGGAGCTACAGATATGGGTGATGGCAGTGTCCTGATTGCCAAGTCCAGAATGTAAGAAAGCTATTCGAGATTGGTGATAGGGGGTTTGAGCTTGGGAAATTTCTCTTGTTTCAACTTGGAACCCAAAGTATAATAATCATGTCTTAATAATTTTCATTGGGGATTGTGTCATTTTGGGCATTTTTAAGCCCATGTTAGTTATCGTTGTGGTTCTGTGAGAACTTCATTGAGGGAGAAATGTTGTTCACATCTATAGTATTTTGAGTTTATGTTGAGTACTTCAAATATGTTGTACCAAAACTATTTGGACTTCCTTTGCTTTCATCTCTACCTTGAGTTCATTTACTTGTATGAATGAATGTCATTAACTGGAAGTAGATCAATTTGGTGGCAATACTTGAAAGGGAAAACATAATCACAAAGACTTCCACCATATAATAGTGTTCAATACTTGATCATTGCCGGTTAGAAGGATAATAATTTGTGCACTGACATTAAGGTTTTAATAAAATCAATTGTTAGGACTAACCATTGTTGTTTTTATTTTCTCACTACAACATTTTCTTAGTTTAGTGACATTTGAAAATGCCACAAAACTATGCTTCTAATGACATTTTTTGGTCTTGTGGCATGTTGAACAAGTGCCACTTCTATCGGTGCCACGGTAGATACGAGTGTCACGGTAGATACTTGCAATGCCACTGCACCATCATGGCTGAAAACTTTCAATGACATTTTAATGTCATGGTAGATATTATTTGTGGCACTATCAAGCGCCATTAAAAAAAGAGTTAGTGACACTTGTAAGTGTCAGTACACCATCATGACTAAAACCTTTCAGTGACACTTTAATGTCATGGTAGACACTATTTGTGACACTATCAAGTGTCATTTATGACGATAATTCGTTGTAGAACAATTTGATCCGCTCTTGCAGAGACTCGAACCGCCAACCTTCCGCACCATGAACCTTATACACCACACTCTTCCCACTACACCTCTATAGCACCACATGATTATATATGCAACATATATTATTTATATAGTACATACATCCATATTAATATAAAAGTATATGTATAAACATAATTATTTTATTGAACATAATTTATGTAAAATAAACTATTTACTACCAAAATAAAAAAAAGACCACTTTTGGTGACTAAAAATATTTTTTGGTCGCCAATTCTATACTTTTGGCTACTAATTATTTTTTAGTTGCTAAAAAACTTAACTTTTGTCGACCAAAATCGGATTTGGTCGCCGAAGATGTACTTTTAGCTAACAAAATTTTGGTCACCAAAAGATTTTATTCCCGCCTTAGGATTTTAGTTCTCCCGCGCTAAAAATGACCACTTTTGGCGACTAAACTTATTTTTTGGTCGCCAATTGTAGACTTTTGGCTACTTAAATTTTTTTTTGCACCAAAAAGCTTTACTTTTGGCTGCTAAAATTTTTTTAGTCAGTAAAACCCATATAATCAGCGACCAAACTTATTTTTAGTCGCCAATTGTAGACTTTTGGCTACTAAATTTTTTTAGTCGCCAAAAAACTTTACTTTGGGCTACTAAAAATTTTTTAGTCAGTAAAACCCATATAATCAGCGACCAAACTTAGTTTTAGTTGCCAATTGTAGACTTTTGGCTACTAAAATTGTTAAGTCGCCAAAAAGCTTTACTTTTGGCAACTAATGCTGTTTTGGTCGCTGAAAGCTATACTTTCAGCGATCAAATTTTTTTGGTCAGAAAATTTATTCGCCTAGTATGCTTTTTCCTGTAGTGTATATTGAGTTTGATTCATTTATTTTTAATCATTTACTGCATTTTAAAAATTTAGAAAATATATTGGCATTTTTTTTTTTCAAAAATGTTATTATAAGCTTGGAAAGTTTTTGGCTTAGTGGCATTTCTCAAAATGCTATAAAATATTTGTTTATGACACTTTTCACCTAAGTGCCATGAAAAGTAATTTGCATCTACCTAATGTCCTGACATCTTTAAAAAAATGCCATTGCAAATATTCATAAAAAGTTTTTGTAGTGACATTTTTGTTGTAGTGAAGTGACACTTTTTTTAATTGAAATGCCACTAGAGCCTTGTATGTTTGTGGCTCTATGACATTTTTTTAAAAAATGCCATCAAATATTCTTTTTGTGACATTTTTTAAGAACATGCCACTAGTATGGTGTCACTAAAATATGTTTTTGTTGTAGTGTTGTGACACTTGTTCATTGAAATGTCACTAAAGCCTTTTATGTTTGTCGTTTTGTGGCATTTTTCAAAAACGTGCCACTAAATATCATTTTTGTGGTATTTTCTAAAAATATGCCATTAGTGTAGTGCCACTAAAGTATGTTTTTGTTGTAGTTTTGTGACACTTGTTCATTGAAATGTCACTAGAGTCTTTCATGTTTGTCGTTTTGTGGCATTTTTCAAAAACGTGCCACTTAATATCATTTTTTGTGGCATTTTCTAAAAATATGCCACTAGTGTAGTGCCACTAAAGTATGTTTTTGTTGTAGTGTCTCTTAATGTTATTTTGCAATCTTTTGAAGCATTTTGTTTGGAACAAAGAATTGGGAAAAAGATGAAAGAGTTTGAACTCCTTCACTTATCATGTGAAATTATATACAGAACACAGTAAAAGGAGCATAGATTACAAAAAGGCTCCGCGAGACTGCTTGGGCATTCTTATAGGCCATTTAACCACAAGCTTCTGTAATGTTCGTAATGCATACATGATATATACTTCTCCAAAAATGAAGAATATGTAACCTGTTTGCACCCCACAAAACTTCTCCAAAAATCCAGAATCTGTAAATTGTTTGCACCACCACAAAACTTCCAGGCTATGGCTTTTGCAACAAAATTTGAGGATATTATGATATTCCTCTTGATCATGCGGCATCCAAGATGCACTTGCTTAGCCGAAGTTTGATTGTCACATGCCATCAATCAAATTAGTTAACAAGTGTTCGAAATTTTGAGCCCTAAATAGAGTTTCAGTAATATAGCAAGGATTAAAAAAAAAAAAAAAGTCAAAACATCACATCAATGGAGTGAGGCTCACCTCTAAAGCTCCTTTTGGTGTTAAATAGATTAAATTAGTTAGTGAGAGGGTAATTTATATAAAAATTGGGCCGAGCTGGGTGATGGGCCGTTCTATGGGCCACAGTAAAAAGGGCTGAGTAAAAGAGCTTTGCAGTTAGCCCGATTCAGAAAGAGCTTTGTAATTAGCTCGGTCCAAGAGAGCCTTGTATTTAGCTCGGTCACCGCTGTTAGAGTGGTGGCAGTTAGCTCGGCCACACTCTTCTGGGCCGAAGTATTTTGAGTTTTTCTCAGGACCTTGCTACGGTTTAACTCGATCCAATCTCGTTATGGTTAGCACGGTCTCAACAGGAGAAGCCGATGTACACGCAATAAAAAGGAAGAACCGAGCTAGGTAAAGCTCGGTCATTTCAGCCAGTATAGCATGGCTATGATAGCTCGGTCGTTTTGTCATACCACCGAGGTAAAACCATGTCACTTGGTTTAAGCAGTGAGGAGGGTGTTGAAGGATAAGCATTATCTTTCAGGAGTGTGATTCCTAGGAGGACTCTGCGTGGAGGAATAAGAGTCCTACTAGGATTGTGCTACGCGGAACCTATAAAATCTCATAACATCACCTATGGAGAGGTAACACAACTTTGATTCTCGAATACACAGAGCTTTTGTCTATTTGTCTATTTTGTTGACTTAGGCATAGGAGAGGTATCCGGCACACACCCGCCGGCTAGCTCACGTTTGTGTTTTCAGGGAGTAAAGCGACGACGTTTGGAGGAGCCCGGACTTGATCAACAAGATTATACGAGAAGATTATTTCTTGCTCGTACAATTGGCGCCGTCTGTGGGAATCACAGAAAGAACAAAACCTCTTGATCAAAGTTTTCCTCGCTAGATTAAACGCAATGGCGCACAATGAGGATTTACCGCAGTCCGCCATTGACGGGCAAACCCCAGAAGGAGGTGGGAGGCACGAAGGTTTGCCTTCCATCCCTCCCATGGCAAATTTAGAGCCCCAGCGACAGAACCCCCGGAGGGATGCAAGGGGGAGGCGGGGTAATAGCCCCCGTCGCTCATCAAGTACTGATAGGCAGATGCGGAGAATCAACCCTCAAGTTTTGGAGGATCGGGTAAAGGAGCAGAACGAGTTAATCAAGAAGATAGCGGTGGACATGGAATTGATGAAGTGCCAGATAAAAGGGAAAGGGGTGGCGACAGGAAAGGGACGCAAAAGCAATACGCCTCCTTGCCACTCCGAAGATCGTGGTAGGCATACCACGCCATTGCAAACAGAGGGTAGGAGCCTCAGGACAGGCGACACTCAATCAAGGACTTCCAGAACTCGTCACTCTAGGTCTGAGAGAACGAGATCATTGAGGTCTTACACTGAGGGAAGCACCTATCGGCCCTCACATACGCACCAGACATCATCCAGGCAAACGGAGTTGCCTAGATTGTCCGACTTACGGACTGTGCTTGAAGAAAGGGCACGACGGAAGGAGGATGCCAGGGCACGCGACCCGCACAGAATTTCAGCCCTTCAGCGGTTGGCTCCTCGGACGCATGGAAGAGTCGAGGTAGGGATGCCAATACCGCACCTTGCCTACGAACCAACAGATAAAGCATTGGCAAGGCTACATAGCTCGCCGTTCGTTCTGGCGATTGAGAATGCATCCTTACCTTCAGGCTTCATCTAGCCTAAATTTATGGCTTACGAGGGGAAGATAGACTCTTACATGCACCTAAGCCACTTTTGCCAAGTCATGGCAGTATACTGGTGGAACGAGGCTTTGATGTGCATCCTATTCCCATCCAGCCTTGGTGACCTAGGTTTAACCTGGTTCGAAAGGCTACCAAAAGGCAGCATAACCTCCTGGGCGCAATTAGCAGAGGCGTTTGTGACAAGGTTTAGAACGAACACCAAGATGCCAGTAGAGATCGATCAGCTACTCTCTATTGACATGGGCGACAAGGAGACGTTGAGATCCTGCAATAGTCATTATTGGGAGACCTTCAACCAGATAGGAGATTGCCCCACAAATCTCGCCATCGCGTAATACAAAAGGGGTCTTCCGGTCAGAAACAGGCTGAGGTACTCAATTACCATGACGCCCCCCCTCACAATGGACGCCTTAATGGAGAGGGTACACCAGCACATTCGGGTGGAGGAGGATAGCGCCCGTGCTAAAACGAAGTCTGGTACAATCGCAATACCAGATAAAAAGACTTCGACAAAAGTTAACGTAGTAGAACGTCCAAGCAGAAACGGGAGAGGCAGGCGGG